AAAAGTACTTTTATCTAAGCTATGTTGAGGCTAAGATACGTAGAGTATTTGTAAAACTTTGTACTAAAATAATCCTTGTGCTGTGAAAATCTAATTCTTCATGACCATCTGCTACTTTTCAATAAGTGACTAATAATTACATCTGAAACACTGAATAAAGCTTATCATAACAATTTTGACAAGTGTTCCAGGTACCCTGTTTGGGTAATACTAAAAATTTTCTGACACTCTGAAAAAAGCTGAGAAATAGTCTCATAAAATTCTATGTAGGGGGAAACAGTTCAGTTTTTAGATCACTTGATTATGTCAGTTCCAAGTCATTTTATATCCAACTGAAATTTTCAATTTCTGCCATCAGAGATGACGTCCACAGAAAAATGCATCAATAAATTCATTTCAATAATTATCATTTTTCCTCTGTGTTAACCCCTTCAGGGTCCGTGCTGTAGTTCTACGGCTTTGAGTTGAGGGTCCAAACCGTAGATCTATGCCATGAGCTCAGCTCACTCTGATAAGCTGTGAGCAGTAAATTTGGGCCTAGATACGAGAGAATACATCTATGTGGTATGTGTGCACTACATAAAACAAATCCTGCAGCACAGTGCATAATGAGAGAAAAAAGAGAGACCATAATTTTCGATTAAAACAGCGACTTTGCAGTGTTTTCTCGTATGTTTTTTATAGTTGTATTTGCAATTTCTTGGTCTCATTTAATTGAATGTAAGATATATTACAGAAATAGAGATGATTTTGATTGGTTTTATTATTGGAAATGGCTTGAAACTGAGCTCAAAGTAGTGGAAATGTTAAATTTTTTCCAATGTTCAAGAGTAAACAAGCGACCTCACATGTCTAATACATGCGAGCTGGTGGGTCTAATATACGTTCATAAGTGCGGTGATATTATTTATACAATTATTACAATATTGCATGACAGTAAATCTTCTATTTTGTGGTTTGAATAAAAATTCATTATGTGAATAAAAAATAAAAATGGAATTTATTTGTAAAGCCTGAAAATGTAACTAATGAACAGAGGAAATGGTAGTGTAGTGCCAGGAATGCTTGCATTGTTTATTCTGGACCCTATTTTGAAATTGGAATATTTTGAACTTTACATTAAATTGGCCAAATTACCAATTTCTGATCACCTTCTTTTGTAGTTGAAACAGTTGACTTGGCAATTTCTCGTGCTCAATCGATAGAATAGAAGTAATACTAGTGAAATAGCTAAGAATTTGGTTGACTGGAATAATGTAATTGGCCTAAAATGGGAATCAAAGTCAGCAAAATCGCTGATGCGTAAATATCGTTGACAAATCAAAATTTATGAGAGCATAATTTCGTCAATTTTCCATCAAATTTCGTACTTTTTGTTTTGTTACCCTCAGAAAAAGATTCTCTACCATTTCATAAGAAAAAATAACAAAATTATTTTTTTGAAAATTCTTGGACCATTGTGCACACTTTGAAATTTGGCCTCTGGACCCTGAAAGGGTTAATCCGTTAAAACAATAATAGTGACAAGTGCACATCAGCAACACGGGCTTTGCTCAACAAACGTGGCAGTATCATAAAGATCAACCTCAGTGTGCCATGAGGCACAGTTAGTGCAACAGGAGACTGTACAAGTCAAATTTTTGGTACTTTCCTGTGCTTTCCTGACACTATATATAAGGACAGCAGGTATTAGGTACCACCCTGAAATTTTAGATATACAGTAATATAGATCCAAGGTAGTAGGTTGCTAGACAACAACTGTTTTTTTCTGTCTCATAAACATGCAAGATTTCAGGTACGTCTTTCTGCTTTTACTTACACTTAGGTCACACTACACATGCATGTACAAGCATATATATACACATCCCTCTGGGTTATCTTCTATTTTTCTTACTAGTCCTTGCCCTTGTTTATTTCCTCTTATCTCCATAGGGAAGTGGAACAGAATTCTTCCTCCGTAAGTTAAGAATGTCGAACAAGGCAACTAAAATGACGGAAGCAAGGAGGCTAGTAACCCCTTCTCTTGTATATATTACTAAACTTAAAAAGAGAAACTTTCGTTTTTCTTTTTGGGCCATCCAGCTTTGGTGGGATATGGCTAGTTTGTTGAAAGATGAAGAAGTAATACTGACAGTGGCAGCTCGCATATAGGCATTGTGGAACTGCAGCACCCCCTATTGTCACTTGATATTATTGATAACATTCAATATAATGAGTCTTTTTTTTTCTTTAATTCTTTCTGTATACTTGTATATTATATAATCCTTATGATTAATGTCAGTAGCCATCCCCTAGTACATAAAAAATTAAAAAAAATCCTTGTATGGAACTGTGCACTTCACAGTTCCAGTTACTCGGTGTTTGGCTGTTATGTGCATGTGCACACAAGGCGTCTCTGCCTAGTGTGCAGCATTGTCGCTGACGCAGTGCTGACCCTGTTGTACAAGTGTAAGGTAGTGTTTCTTTTTGACTCAGAGATGTTTATGATTTTATCAAGTTTGTGTATAAATTTTCTTTTTATACGCTTGTTTCATTTTACACAATATTAAAACAATGGCTAAAAAATTTCTGAAGCAGGACCTCCACTAATTTTAGCTACGAGCCGCCACTGAATATAGATAATGGATAGTTCTACAGTTCAACATAATGACATTATTGCTACTGTTCATAGATTTTACTCTACACTGGAACCTTGGTACTCGAACTTAATTCGCTCAATAAGGCTGTTTGAGTGTGATCTGTTCGAGTACAGAACAAATTTTTCACAACCAATTTTCTTTTTGGTTGGCTGTTATCACTAATCTTTGTAGGCTCCATGGTGACTTATTTATACAAAAAAAAAAAAAGGTTAAGAAACACAAAATAGTTTACAGCAAAGTTCTGGCAGGTCGTGTTTGTTTGGTTGAGTGCTGAGCAAATGGTCGACTACCGAGCGATTTTTTTCTTTACCGAACAAAGCGTTCGAATACCGAGGTTCCACTGTATTAAATCTTGGGTGGACTTGTTTCTTTTTTTTTTGTAGAATTTTTCTATTGTTTTTCAATGACTAGAAATACAAAATTGTCTACTGAAATGTCAATCAGGGGGCTGCTTTAATGACAGATATCAGTAGAGATGTTATATACAGTGGACCCCCGACTTACGATGGCCTCAACCTACGATAAAACTGACTTACGATGCTTGTCAGCGTAAAAATTTGACCCCGACCTACGTTGAAAAACTCGACTTACATCATTCTTTTCTAATGCGGCCATCTCGTCCGTCTGGCCTGAGCACCTCAGCTGAGCTAGTGTGACATTGTTTACAAGCCAGGGTGGACGGTTGCATGCATACATTCGATAAATTTTGTATTATTTCAGTGTTTTTAGTGCTTGTAACTGCTAAATAAGCCACCATGGGCTTATTGAGAATACCGAGAAACAATTAACTCAGAGGGTTAGCCATCCCGGATAACCCAAGAAAGTCAGTGTGTCATCGAGGACTGTCTAACTTATTTCCATTGGGGTCCTTAATCTTGTCCCCCAGGATGCGACCCACACCAGTCGACTAACACCCAGGTGAACAGGAAAAAATGCCTGGAACTAGTGCTCATATTGGTGAATTTAAGGCCAGCAAAGGTTGGTTTGAGAGATTTAAGAATCGTAGTGGCATACACAGTGTGATAAGGCCTGTTCTGGAAGAAAATGCCAAACAGGACCTACATTACTCAGGAGGAAAAGGCACTCCCAGGACACAAACAGTGTCTCATTACTCATCACCACATCTTCAATAAAGGTGTCATTTATTCTTCATTTAGTACATGCACAATATATATACTGTGCATGTATCCTTCTTTTTGTGTGTGTAGGAAAATGTATATTTCATGTGGTAATTTTTTTTTTTTTTTCATACTTTTGGGTGTCTTGAACGGATTAATTTGATTTCCATTATTTCTTATGAGGAAAATTAATTCGACTTACGATAATTTCATCTTACGATGTGCTCTCTGGAACGGATTAATATTGTAAGTCGGGGGTCCACTGTATATAAATTTTTTTTAACCAGCTGGCCCGCTTCCACAGAGGTAGGGTGACCCAAAAAAGACACACTTTCACCATCATTCACACTATCACTGTCTTGCAGAGGTGTACAGACATGAAAGTTCATATGTCCCTCCAAACAGCAAATATCCCAAACCTCTCTTTTAGAGTGCAGGCATCGTACTTCTCACCTCCAGAACTCGAGTCCATAATGCCGCTGCTATCAAATAAAAAAGTTTTTATTTTTCGTTTTTTTTTTATTTCTCATTTTTGTTTTTATCTTTCAACCAATATGCATGAAACTCTCAGCATATATGTTTGCAACTTTACCCCCATGCACAAAATTAAAATTAATTGCAGTTGGATAATAATGTCCGAAAAATGCAAATATAGTTCAGTGCTCTTAAGGCAACTCTCCTAACACTGCTGAACCATTTGGAGGAATGACTCACAAGGTACATTACCTGAGGCATGATCCTGTTTCAGCAGGCAATAAGCATGGAGTACAAAAGATATCATTCAGTCCTTGCAAAGAAATAGCATCACATGTGGCACATGAATAAGCAATCAAATTCAAAAAGGATTAATTTTATTCCATATTGCTGAAGTTAATGCATATAGAATAGGGTGTAATTTTTTAACAAAATGCATTCATTATATTCAATCTTAAACCATTCATAAAAATATATAAATCAATAATAAATAAAAGGCACCATAGTTGAGGAAAAAAACAATTGGCATTAGCAACCCACAAAATGCAAACATGATGCCAACCTGCACTGGCAGATTCCATTCATCCAATATTTGTGCATCATGATGCTAGTCCACTTCAGTGGGTAGTGGCATAAAAAATTAAAACATGAAAAAATAACAACAGTATTTTCAAAACAATATGTAATACTGTATTAAAAGCAACAAGGTGATTTTATTAACCTTAAAAGTTAAATGCTCTTGAACAAAATCTAAATGAGGCTTACTCACCCTTGAGGAGGAATCAAGAGTAAGGACAGCTTTGTTTGGATTGACAATGGTGGTTGGAAAAACAGCTCCACAGTTGCCACCACCCACAAAGTTACGGAACAACCAGTGACCAGTGGGGATGTTTTCAGAGGTGCCAAATGACCCCTTGGACAGCCCCGGAGAGAAACTGAAGCTGTGGAGACCATTACCTGTGGAAATATGTTAAGAGAATTTTGTGAAAGAACACCTTTATGTGCTGAATATACATGTACTTCAAAATATCCTCAGCATTATTTAACACAATACAGCCTCTCCTCACTTAGCTACATACTTGTTTACCTACAACTCAGACTTATGACGGGCTCTTTGACCAGTATGCATACCTAAATAATGTATATTAGAGCCCTTTTCCTCTATTCTGTTTATTACAATATACAGTAAACTACTGTATAAATATTGAAAAATATACTAAAATTGTTATAAATGGCACAAAGGTGACATTAAAAAATATCAAAGATGGCTGACACAAACCCACTACCATTATAGTGTGCTCCTCACTTAGCGACGCATTCTTTAACCAACGAGGTCTTAGGAACAGAACTCTGTCTTTAAGTGAGGAGAGGCTGTATAACTTTCCTGGACAGAGAGAAATTGCAAATTAAAAGTGAAAAGGACCTGGGGTGAGTATAATACCTAACATATCGGCAAAATTGCAGCAGCATATGAAAGACTAACAAGTTTCAAAATAGCATTCAGGAACCTAAAGGAAGAATCCTTCAGCACTTCATATATGACATATGTGGCCCCAGCAAAGAGCCCACACCTGGTCAAGCACATCAAGGAACTCGAAAAGGTCCAAAGGCTTGCAACCTGGCAAGTACCAGAACTAAGAGGAATGCATTATGAGAGGTTGAAGGAACCAAACTTGATGACCTGAGAGGAGAGTCAGACAAAGGGACAAATGATTAGAACATATGAAGTCTAAAGAGGATAGGGTGGACAGAGACAGACTGTTTGAATTAAGAGGGCCAAAATTAAGGGAATAAAAGTGGATGCTGCTGAAAACACAAATGAGCCAAAGGGATGTAAGGAAGTACTTCTGTAGTCTTAGTGTGGTTGAGAAGTGGAATAATTTCGATGAGGCAGTGGAGGAGATTTAAAACACAGCATTAAGAGTACACATGATAAGCCCCAAGAAGCCAGTGATGCCAATCAAAGTAGTCTAGGAAGTAGGGCCAGAAGCTATGTCTCAATCCCTACAAACACAACTTGGTAGGTACAACTCAGCTCAGCAAACATAGGCTGCAACCCATAACAGTGGAGTATCTTAGGAAAAAAAAATCTAACTGAATTAGGAAAAAATGTCATCTTGGACAACCATTGTAGATCAGGGGGTTCTTAACCTGTATCCCCCTAGGGGTATGAAAGAGCAAAACTGGGAGCATGAGACTGAACTATATAAACCAAACACTTCCCTCGAGAGAACAAGAATGAATATAATCACTGAGGAAATGGTATGGTGATACCGACAAGATGTGGAAAAAGACACTTATGTACAGTTCAGGACATTCATTAAAGGAAACGTTTTGCCACGAGTGGCTTCTTCAGTCCTAATACAGAGAAAACTAAGAAAACATTTATATATATAGTAGCAGGAGTCAGGTGAGGTGACGCGTGGGTAGAGGTGGTGGTGGTGGTAGTCGTAGTAGTAGTAGTAGTAGTAGTAGTAGTAGTAGTAGTAGTAATGGAACTAAGGAGGTGAGGCAAGAGAGGGACCTGCTGGCATCAAGTAACACCAGTTCCCAGGATGGGTAATATCCTCTTGCTTAGTAATTTTGAAATACTGTAACTACCGGATTTTTGCTTTATAGTGTTACTGACAGAAATTAGTGCAGCTTCAATGCATTTTCTCCGTCTTAAGTCGTCTTCTTTAATAACTAGTTTAGCTTCATTGAATTTCATGAGGTGTCCAACATCATCTCTATGTTGAACACATGCGTTTTTGCGGTCATCATTTCTGCAAGCATTTTTGTGTTCTGCTATTCTAATGTCCAGAGTTCTGGCTGTTTCCCCTACATATACTTTGTCACACCCCCCCACATGGTATAGTGTAGATTCCTGCACTTGTGCCAGAATCATGCTTGGGTTTTTGTATCAGGTTCCTAATAGTAGTTGAAGAGCTGGTAGATATTTTAGCCAGTTTTCTGTCAAACATGTTTGAAACATTAGTGGCAATGTTGCTGACCGGTAAAACGATGTAACTTGGAGGCTTTTCTTCAATTTGATAGGTGTTGGTCTTGCTGAGGATACGTGCCGCACGTTTCCTACAGTCACGTATGAAGTGTAGGGGAAAGTGCAGTGAACTAAAAGAGTTGGTGATGTATGTTCATTCTTCTTCGAGGAACTGTGGACTGGAAATTTTGTAGGCTCTCAGAAAGAAGCCTACAGAATTTCCAGTCCACAGTTCCTCGAAGAAGAATGTACATACATCACCAACTCTTTTAGTTCACTGCACTTTCCCCTACACTTCATACGTGACTGTAGGAAACGTGCGGCACGTATCCTCAGCAAGACCAACACCTATCAAATTGAAGAAAAGCCTCCAAGTTACATCGTTTTACCGGTCAGCAACGTTGCCACTAATGTTTCAAACATGTTTGACAGAAAACTGGCTAAAATATCTACCAGCTCTTCAACTACTATTAGGAACCTGATACAAAAACCCAAGCATGATTCTGGCACAAGTGCAGGAATCTACACTATACCATGTGGGGGGTGTGACAAAGTATATGTAGGGGAAACAGCCAGAACTCTGGACATTAGAATAGCAGAACACAAAAATACTTGCAGAAATGATGACCGCAAAAACGCATGTGTTCAACATAGAGACGATGTTGGACACCTCATGAAATTCAATGAAGCTAAACTAGTTATTAAAGAAGACGACTTAAGACGGAGAAAATGCATTGAAGCTGCACTAATTTCTGTCAGTAACACTATAAAGCACAAATCCGGTAGTTACAGTATTTCAAAATTACTAAGCAAGAGGATATTACCCATCCTGGGAACTGGTGTTACTTGATGCCAGCAGGTCCCTCTCTTGCCTCACCTCCTTAGTTCCATTACTACTACCACTACTACTACTACTACTACTACTACTACTACTACTACCACCTCTACCCACGCGTCACCTCACCTGACTCCTGCCACTATATATATAAATGTTTTCTTAGTTTTCTCTGTATTAGGACTGAAGAAGCCACTCGTGGCAAAATGTTTCCTTTAATAAATGTCCTGAACTGTACATAAGTGTCTTTTTCCACAATATAATCACTGCCAGGGAAAAGGTTGCCAGCCTTCACCCAAAAACTTTCAATTTGGATAAATCACAATATGAATCAAAATTTTGTTAATTTTCCTTCACTTAATAAGACCGTTGGTGAGGAAAAAGAACCTGTCCATTGCAAAGTCAAATATTAATGTCTATAAGAGAAAATATTTCATGGGTCGAGGCATGATTGACTGAAAGGCAACAGTGTGGTTCCCTTAACCCCTTTACTGTCGCAACCCCAAATCCTGAGGTGTTTCCTGGTGCCGCAAAAAAAAAAAAAAAAAAAAAAAAAAAAAAAAAAAAAAAAAAAAAAAAAAAAAATTGAAATGATAGAGAATATTTTCCTGGTTGTAATGACACCTAAAGAATGAAATTTGATGGAAAACTGGCGAAATTATGCTCTCGCGAAGTTAATGACCTTAGCGAAATTTACGAATCGGTGGTTTCGCCCACTTTGAGCCCTATTTTCAGCTAATTCCATTGTTCCAGTCGACCAAACTTATAGCTATTTCTTTAGAACTCCATTTTTTTTCTATCGACTGAGTACAAGAAACTGCCCATTTACCAATTTCAACTACCCAATAACATGGTCAGAAATTTACAATTTGGCCAATTTCACGAAAATTAAAAAATATGACAATTTCAAATTAGGGTCCAGAATGAACAATGCAGACATTCCTGGCTCTAAAATAACATTTTCTTTGTTCATCAGTCATGTCTCCAGATTTACTGTTATGCAGACTACTGCAATACAGTGGACCCTCGCCTAACGCTATTAATCCGCTCCCGAGAGCTCAACGTTAAGCGAAATTATCGTTAGGCGAAATAATTTTCCCCATAAGAAATAATGGAAATCAAATTAATCCATTCCTAACACCCCAAAGTATGAACCCAAAAAAATTTTTTACCACATGAAATATTAATTTTAATACACACAAACTGAAGAAGACATGCACAGTTACATGACACTTACCTTTATTGAAGATCTGGTGATGACTGATGGGATGGGAAGAGGGGAGTGTTGATGGTGTTAGTGTTTAGAAGGGGAATCCCCTTCCATTAGGACTTGAGGTGGCAAGTCCTTTTCCGGGGTTACTTCCCTTCTTCTTTTAATGCCACTAGAACCAGCTTGAGTCACTGGACGTCTGTCGCACAACATATCTGTCCATAGAGGCCTGTACCTCCCGTTCCTTTATGACATTCCTAAAGTGTTTCACAACATTGTCAGTGTACAGGTTGCCAACACGGCTTGCAATAGCTGTGTGAGGGTGATTTTCATCAAAAAAGGTTTGCACTTTAAGCCACATTGCACACATTTCCTTAATCTTTGAAGTAGGCAACTTCTTCAATTTCTCTATCCCCTCCTCCGAAGCAGTTTCCTCAGGTGTGGCCTCTTGCTGTTGAAGATGATCTAGCAGCTCATCAGTGGTTAGTTCTTCACTGTCCTCCCCCACTAACTCTTCCACACCCTCCCCACTAATCTCCAACCCCAAGGGCTTCCCCAATGCCACAATGGATTCTTCAACTGGCATAGGATTCCCAGAGTTAGCCTCAAGCCCTTCAAAATCCCTTTTGTCTACACATTCTGGCCACAGTTTCTTCCAAGCAGAGTTCAAGGTCCTCTTAGTCACTTCCTCCCAAGCCTTACCTATAATGTTTACACAATTGAGGATGCTAAAGTGATCTCTCGAAAACTCTTAAGAGTCAATTAAGTTTCTGAGGTCACTACAAAGCACCTTTCAAACGGAGCTTTTGTGTACAGTTTCTTGAAGCTGGAAATGACCTGCTGGTCCATGGGCTGCAGGAGAGGAGTGGTATTAGGAGGCAAAAACTTGACCTTAATGAAGCTCATTTCCGCAGAAAGTCGCTCTGCCACGTCTGAAGGATGACCAGGAGGCACTTAAGGTCTAATTTCTTTTCAATTAGGTAATTTTTCACAGTGGGGGCAAATGCATGGTGTAACCAGTCATAGAAAAAGTCCCTAGTGACCCATGCCTTACTGTTTGCCCTCCATAGCACACACAAATTAGCCTTGAGGACATTGTTTTTCCTGAACACTCTGGGAGTTTCAGAGTGATACACCAATAAAGGCTTCACTTTGCAATCACCACTAGCATTGGCACACAACAGAGTAAGCCTGTCTTTCATAGGTTTATGTCCTGAGAGTGCCTTTTCCTCCTGAGTAATGTACGTCCTGTTTGGCATTTTCTTCCAAAACAGGCCTGTTTCGTCACAATTAAACACTTGTTCAGGTTTCAGTCCTTCACTGTCTATGTACTCCTTGAATTCCTGCACATATTTTTCAGCTGCTTTGTGGTCCGAACTGGCAGCCTCACCATGCCTTATCACACTATGTATGCCACTACGATTCTTAAATCTCTCAAACCAACCTTTGCTGGCCTTAAATTAACTCACATCATCACTAGTTGCAGGCATTTTTCTAATTAAATCGTCATGCAACTTCCTAGCCTCTTCACATATGATCGCTTGAGAGATGCTATCTCCTGCTATCTGTTTTTCATTTATCCACACCAATAACAGTCTCTCAACATCTTCTATCACTTGCGATCTCTGTTTCGAAAACAAAGTTGCGCCTTTGGCAAGAACAGCTTCCTTGATTGCCGTTTTCTTGGCCACAATAGTAGCGATGGTTGATTGGGGTTTTGTGTACAACCGGGGCCAGCTCAGAGACACGCACTCCACTTTCATACTTAGCAATGATCTCTTTCTTCATATCCATAGTAATTCTCACTCTTTTTGCTGTAGGGTTGGCACAGAAGCTTTCTTGGGCCCATGGTGACTTATTTTGCAGGTGCAATCACTAAAAAGGCTGTGATAATATGAAATGTTCCGATTGTATGCTTGGAAGCGACCGCGGTGGCTGGCTTGTAAACACTGGCACCCACGGAATAAGTGAGGCGGGCTCAGGCCGCACGTGGACGCATCTTGAAAGAGCCACGTTGAGCGAGTTTTTTAGCGCTAGCCGAGGCAAAATTTCTGCGTTAAAATGTATCGTAGGCGGATTTAACGTTATGCAATGCGTTCGTTGGGCGAGGTTCCACTGTATTGTAATAATTGTATAAATAATGTCAACCCATTCATGATTGCATATTAGAATGGCTACTTGGACATTTATTGGAAAATGACATCATTTGTTTACTTTTGAACATCGGCAAAAATCAAACATTTCTCCTACTTGGAGCTCCATTTAAAAATCACCTCTATTTCTATAATATGTTTTCCATTCTATCAAATGAGACCAAGAAAATGACAATTACGTTGCTCCAGTTGACTAAATTCTTAGCTATTTCACTCGTATGTCTTCCATTTTATCGATTCAGCACAAGAAACTGCCCAACCAACTATTTCAACTACCCCAAAAAAGTGATCAGAAATTTGGTAATTTGGTCAATTTCACACAAATTTCAAAATAGGGTCCAGAATAAACAATGCAGGCATTCCTAGCATTAAAATAAAAATTTCTCTGTTCATTAGTTATGTTCCCAGGCTTTACACATGAATTCCATTTTGAATTTTTATTCACAAAAAAAAAAAAAAAAAACACAAGATTTACTACTTTGCAATATTGTAATAATTGTATAAATAATATCAGTGCATTCCTGAATACACATTAAACCCATCAGTTGGGGATGTATTGGACGAGTGACATAATTTGTTTAATCTTGAATATCGGCAAAACTCGAACATTTCTGCTACTTTTAGCTAAATTTCAAGCTATTGTCAGTCCTGAAACCAATCAAAATCATCTCTATTTCTGTAATATATCTTCCATTCTATCAAATGAAACCAAGAATACAACCAAAAATCATACAAAAATACACTGCAAACTTGTTACTTAAACCAAAAACACGGTTGCAGTTTTTTCTCACTGTGGACTGCGTACCTTTACCTTTGATATACCTTTGAAGAGTTTAGAGAGTTTAACTACTCTCGGAGCCAGGCTTGTCTGGTGCTTGCCTGGTCAACCAGGCTGTTGCTGCTGGAGGCCCACTGCCCACATATCCATCACAGAGTGATTGATCTGGCACCTGGTGAAGATACTTGTACAGTTTCCTCTTGAAGGCTTCTACACTTGTTCCAGCCATGTGTCTGATATCTTCTGGTAAGATGTTGAATAGTTTGGGACCCCGGATGTTGATACAGTGTTCCCTTACTGTCCCCACTGCACCTCCTGCTTCTCACTGGGTTTACTATACATTTCCTCCCATATCTCTCAGTCCAGTATGTTGTTATGGCAGTGTGCAGATTTGGGACCAGGCCCTCGAGTAATTTCCAGGTACAGTATATATTATCATGCATCTCTCTCCCCTCCGCTCCAATGAGTACATGTTCAAGACTTGAAGGCATTCCTAGTAATTCAGGTGCTTTACTGGCTCAATGTGAGCCATAAACAATCTCTGAATATGTTCTGGCTCTGATATTTCTCCTGCTTTGAATGGGGCCGTCAGCACTGAGCAGTATTCTAAATGAGGGAGCACTACTGATTTGAAGAGTGTCACCATCAGCATTATTTCCTTTGTTTTGAAAGTTCTCAATACCCACCCCGTCATCTTCCCAGCTGTCGTGATCTTTGTCTTGTTATGTTCCTTAGAAGAAAGGCCAGCTGACATAATTATTCCCAGGTCTTTTACACGTTCCTTTCGTTCTATTTGGTGACCCTTTTTGAGTTCTTCCTTCTTTCCATACCTAAGCAGCTGGAACTTATCACCACTGAATGTCATGTTCTCCACTGCCCACTAGAAAACCCTGCTTATGTCTTCCTGTAATTTTTCAGTGTCCTCTACTATAGTGAATCGTGCTTATTTTAGTGTCATCTGCAAATGATGATACATAAGAGTGACAGGTGTTTTTTCTATGTCTGCTATGAGGATGAGAAACAGCAGAGGTGCCAGGACACAGCCTTAGGGCACTGAGATTTTGACCTTGCTGATGCTGGATCTTGCTCTGTTTACTACTACTTTTTGTGTTGTGTGTGTTAGGAACCCAAAAATCAATCTGCCTACCTTCCCTGTAATGCGTGCTGCAGGATTTTTTTTATGCGATACACACTTACCACAAAACCATTCTCTTATATCTAAACCCAGATTTACCACTCTTTAATTATCTGAGTGAGCTGCACTCATGACAAAGTACTATGGCACAGACAGTGACCTCAAACCCGTATTACTATGGCACAAACAGCAAAGGGGTTAATAGTTCTTGTGCCTCTTTATTTCCTCTTATCTCTGTGGGGAAGTGGAAAAGAATTCTTCCTTCATAAGCCATGTGTGTTGTAAGAGGTGACTAAAATGGCAGGAGCAAGGGGTAGTAACCCCTTCTCCTGTATACATTACAAAATTTAAAAAGAGAAACTTTTGTTTTTCTATTTAGGTCACTCTGCCTTGGTGGGATGCAGCCAGTTCATTGAAAAAAATAATAATGTGCAAATGAAAAACAGAAATAAATAAAAGGGAAATAAACAGCATGCTGAAAATATATAAGACAGGACTCATAGCAATGGATTCAAGTTGAAGAAATTTACTTAGAAAGGATACAAGGTGGTACTAGCGGTTTGGCAACAGATTTGTAAATAAGCAGAGCAAACTTCAAGGAGGCAAAAACTTTGGGTAGCTGTAAATATAGGTTGAACGGGTACTTGAGTGGATGGAAGTTGAACCTGCTTAGCATGGGCCATTAGGCCTGCTACAGAGTTCCTTCACTATTGTGTCCGGTATTCCCAAGATTTCTTTCATCACAGAGAGGTTTCTCTGGCTTGAGGATGGAAGCAAAAGTCATTTATTTTTCATCTCAATTTCATGAATGGTAGTAATATAATGGAAGATGATCTTGTTGAACTAAGAACTAATGAAGGAAGATGAATGGAATTTGAATCAATGATGGTAGAAACATTCTGGCATGCACAATTCAAAACGTTTCCCAGTGAGCTTTGGAGGTTGTCACCCGATTTGCCACCACCTATCTGTGCAAGACATCTTTTTCAACACCTCCACACATAAGAACAGGCTAAAACTGTCTTGATGTAAGTGATATGAATGTGGCTATTTCCAGAAATGAACTTTCTTTTATCATCATCACTAATGAAGGTCAACAACAAGAGCCACTAAATACAGCAAATGTATTTTTGTTTACAAATGAAGGCATTTATGGTGAGTTCTTATTCATAAATGTGTCATTGATCAACTTTACTTTTATATATGTTTTAGGTGAAAAAAAAAAAAAAAAAAAAAGAAAAAAGACAACTGAAAGGGTACAGGCACTTAAAAAAGGTTAAGAACTTCTGTTGTATATGTATCACTTGTTTATTGCTCATGAATCAAAAAGTATAGCATTCTTAACTTGATTTTTAGCAACTAACTTCCCTCAAAAGAGACATTAAAAAAAAAAAAAACTGTAATACCTGTATTGATAATCTGAATCACTATATAACAGGAAGTGATGGTTAACACACAGTGGTCTGTCTCACCTGGCATAGCATTCAGGCGAGGTGCTGAGGATGCATGTTGCAACCTGAGCTCAGATGGGAAGGAGCGGGGCATGTGTGAAAAGCTGGCATTGCTGCCAAGCGGCGACTCTTCTGTGTTTCTGTGGAAGACAAAACTTGTAAGTCACAATAACTCAGTCCAATGATACCGTATGTTTTTTATCTTCAGGTTAACCTTTCTCAATGGGATACAGTAAGAGATAGGTGTGTTTCTGTGGGCCCCAGATGAAGAACACACTTAACAGGTTAGATAATATCATGACAGGTAAGGGACCAACCCCATTCGCTGCCTCAAGTGCTGGAGTCAATGATGACAGGAAATATAAGGACACGAGTTACTTACCAAGTACAGCACACCTATAGATTTTAGTAGCTTAAAGGAAGGAAGGAAGCAAGCCCAGTTATTTGAATAGAAGTAATTTTGCCAGAAGAAGGAGAAGGCAGTTGATTTAAATTGATGGCTGGATAACTACTGCAAAGCAAGAGTAACTTCATCGTGACAACTTGGACAATATATGTTGTAAACAGAAGCAGGATAGTATAGGACACTGGCCCTGAGAGTTTTAGGGCTCACTTGCCATGGGTTCAAGCCCACCCATTGTGTGATTTCATTAGCTTTAACTAGCTCTGTTGGGGCTACTCCTAGACTGTATGAAGCTTCAAACTGTTGGAAATTAGGATTATGACTGTATAATAAAAGAAAGGATCATGGGACTAAGAATGGCAGTAATAAGAATGCCTCAATATCCAATAGCAGAGTAAAACATTCAGAAATTAACACATCAATTTGTAAACTTGATAATAAGAAAAAATAAAGTAGTTTAACAGTATGCAAGTAAGTAGTCAGAACACAATAAATGAAAAACTAAGACCATCTGCAAGCACAGAAACACCTGATAATATTTGAATTTTTGGGATATTGCTTACAGGGGTACACATTGTCCTACACTTACAGGAACAACAGGAAAGGGAATGGAGTGGGACTGTATAGTAGATTATTTATTATTATTATTATAATCAAAAAGAAGCGCTAAGCCACAAGGACTATACAGCATATAGTAGAGAAAACTTGAAATGCTTTATGAAAAATACACACAAAGTTGAATGAACAAACAAAATCTGATTGGTGGCAGAATTCTTGAAGGGCATAAAATACAATTTGTAGACAATTTCTTTCAGATGAAACTATGAAGCCTTCAAGACCCAAAAATTTAATGTTAATTAATTAAAGGTGCATTACAATTTAATCCAAATTCATTGAATTTGAGAAGTAATCCTGGGCCTTACAACTTTCTAGCAATAGTTCAGACCTGTTATTTAAAACAATTTGTGAGAGAATTAACTTAAGGTAGTAATCTGCACGAACTGGTCCTACCAAACTGGGAAACCCTGATAAAAGTCTTGAGATTGCTGAGGAACTGCAAAACAAGTCTCAAGTCTAACACTTTTACCTTTAAATTAAGGAAGCTATTTTTTCAGAAACACCTTTATATTGTGTGGAGGAAGAAAAACTATCAACTCTGGAAACTTGCAGAAGTCGTGGCAAGGGAAAGTTTTGAGAATAACCTATTACAAGATGGATGGACCAATTGTTAAGGCTTTGGCATGTCAGTTGACTAGCCAGTAGTTTGAATCTAGGAGAATGCCTTAGGAGGGAGGGAGATGATGTAGGTAACAGCTCTTAGCTTGCCAATAAAGTTAGGAATCCTTAACCTGTAAATAGCTGTCAATAAAGCTAGGGATCCTTAACCTGTCAAACCCTGTGTAAAAAAAAAAAGAGAGAGAGAGAGAGAGAGAGAGAGGGGTAGAGGGTAAGGGGAGGGGAGGGGGAGAGGGGGAAGAAAGAGAGGGGGAAGAGAGAGAGGGGGAAGAGAGAGAGGGGGAAGAGAGAGAGGGGGGAAGAGAGAGGGGGGAGAGAGAGGGGGGAAGAGAGAGGGGGGAAGAGAGAGGGGGGAAGAGAGGGGATAGAGAGAGAGGGGAAGGGAGAGGGGAAGAGAGAGGGGGGAGAGAGAGAGGGGAAGAGAGAGAGGGGGAAGAGAGAGAGGGGGAAGAGAGAGAGGGGGAAGAGAGAGAGGGGGAAGAGAGAGAGGGGGAAGAGAGAGAGAGGGAAGAGAGAGAGAGGGAAGAGAGAGAGAGGGAAGAGAGAGAGGGAGAGAGAGAGAGGGAAGAGAGAGAGAGGGAGAAGAGAGAGAGGGAAAGAGAGAAGGGAGAGAGAGAGAGGGAAGAGAGAGAGAGGGAAGAGAGAGAGAGGGAAAGAGAGAGAGAGGGAAAGAGAGAGGGGAAAGAGAGAGAGGGGAAAGAGAGAGAGGGGAAAGAGAGAGAGGGGAAGAGAGGGGGGAAGAGAGAGGGGGAAGAGAGAGAGGGGGAAGAGAGAGAGGGGGAAGAGAGGAGGGGGAAGAGAGAGAGGGGGAAGAGAGAGGGGGAAGAGAGAGAGGGGGAGAGAGGAGGGGAAGGAGAGAGGGGGAGAGAGGAGGGGGAAGAGAGAGAGGGGGAGAAGAGAGGGGAAGAGAGAGAGGGGGAAGAGAGAGGGGGAAGAGAGAGAGGGGAAGAGAGAGGGGGAAGAGAGAGGGGGAAGAGAGAGGGGGGGAGAGAGGGGGGAGCGAGGGGGGAGAGAGGGGGAGAGAGGGGGGAAGAGAGAGGGGGAAGTAGGGGAGAGAGGGGAAGAAGGGAGAAGGAGGGAGGGAGAGAGGGGGGCAGAGGAGAGGTAATGGAGAGGGAGAGGGAAGGGGAGGAGTGGGGAGAAAGGAAAGGAGAGGAGAGCAACATAATGAGTGTGAGTGTGTGTGCTCACCTAGTTGGTCTCTTTCAACTGCATTTAACAAATATTTCAGAAAGAATTAGATAAATATTTTGAGATGAGTGATTCACCATAAACAGACGCCATATTGGGCGTGAAAAGAGAACGATTTAGAGAGAGAGAGAGAGAGAGAGAGAGAGAGAGAGAGAGAGAGAGAGAGAGAGAGAGAGAGAGAGAGAGAGAGAGACATCGGTTGTAGGGGTCGAGTCACAGCTCCTGGCCCCGAGTCACAGCGTGTGTGTGTATACTCGCCTATTTGTGATTGCAGGGGTAGAGTCATAGCTCTTGGCCCCGCCTCTTCACTGATCGTTACTAGGTCATCTCTCCCCCTGCTCCATGAGCTTTATCATACCTCGTCTTAAAACTATGTATGATTCCTGCCTCCACTACATCACTTGCTTGACTATTCCACTTCTGACAACTCTATATGACTAAAGAAATATGTACTTCCTAACATCTCTTTGACTCATCTGAGTCTTCAACTTCCAACTGTGACCCATTGTTTCTGTGTCCCATCTTTAGAACATCCTGTCTCTGTCCACCTTGTCAATTCCTTGCAGTATTTTGTATGTCGTTATCATGTCTCCCCTAACCCTCCTGTCCTCCGGTGTCGTTAGGCCGATTTCCCTTAACCTTTCTTTGTAGGACATTCCCCTTAGCTCTGGAACTAGCCTTGTTGCAAACCTTTGCACTTGCTCTAATTTACTGACGTGCTTTACCAGGTGTGGGTTCCAACCTAGTGTTGCATACTCCAGTATGGGCATGGCGTACACGGTTACCTGGAGGTTATTCCGGGGATCAACGCCCCCGCAGCCCGGCCCATGACCAGGCCTCCCGATGGATCAGGGCCTGATCAACTAGGCTGTTACTGCTGGCCGCACGCAGTCCAACGTACGAGCCAATTACTGAGGTATCAGAACGCTATTCTCAGGTTTGCCAGGCGCCCATATGTTGCAGCAGTTATCTGGTTGATGTGCGCCTCAGTCCATTTTTTAAGGGATTCCGGTCTAATTGACCAACTCTGTTTATTAGGCATTACATACATACACACGCACACATATACTATTAATTTATGCAGTAAATGGGTTCTTTTAGCTATGATATAGACATACAGGAAGTGGCCTTGTTCAATACATAAATGTTGTTTTCCGTAAGACACAACTTCCAGGGGCAGTGAGTCACTTGGCTCATCAACTATCTATTAAGAGAGACATCATACAATTAAACAAAATTTCTTTAGTGTGATATAAGTCACTAAACAAAGGCCATTCATATCAACCTGTTGTTCCGTTAAGACACAACTTCAGGCTGAGTCACGTTGGGCTCAAACCCATGCTTATTAGGAGACATCAACAATAAAAGTTTACAGTGAGTTTATCAAGCACTCTACAAGACCACACTACAGACCTGATCGCCAGTAAGGCTCATCTTATTTCCACGGTAAGGGCTTATTAAACCCATGGTTGTTCACGAGATTAACCGACATGAATTACACTAGCCTGATATCGCCAATATCTCAAGCCAACACACCCCCAAGGAGTCCTTGATTCTGGGGGGGTCTTGATTAGAATGATGTGCTCCAGTTCCCGTATTATAACTGAATGCCATTCCAACACCCCACCCCAAAGGCTTATATATCTGTTATAGCTTCCCTTGATATATATATAATATCATGCCAACACTAAAAACTATAATAAATATATATATATATATATATATATATATATATATATATATATATTCTTTCTTCTTTCAACACACCGGCCGCATCCCACCGAGACGGGGTGGCCCAAAAGGAAAAACGAAAGTTTCTCCTTTTACATTTAGTAATATATACAGGAAAAGGGGTTACTACCCCCTTGCTCCCGGCATTTTAGTCGCCTCTTACAACACGCATGACTTACGGAGAAAGAATTCTGTTTCACTTCCCCATGGAGATAAGAGGAAACAAACAAGAACAAGAACTAGAAAGAAAATAGAACACCCAGAGGTGTGTGTGTGTGTGTGTATATATATATATATATATATATATATATATATATATATATATATATATATATATATATATTATATATATATATATATATATATATATATATATAGCTTGTACATGTATGTGTAGTGTGACCTAAGTGTAAGTAGAAGTAGCAAGATGTACCTAAAATTTTGCATGTTTATGTGACAGAAAAAAGACACCAGCAATCCTACCATCATGTAAAACAGTTACAGGCTTTCGTTTTTCATTCACTTGGCAGGATGGTAGTACCTCCCTGGGCGGTTGCTATTTACCAACCTACTTCCTAATTATATATATATTATATATATATATATATATATATATATATATATATATATATATATATATATATATATATTATATATATATATATATGACATGGTGAGCATTTCGTAGATGATATAATCGCACATGACTTGTTTTCAAACTGGATATATGAACAATGAAAACTTGGTTGTTTCCCCGTCACATTCCATCACACAGGATGATTTACAAGCATACATAATGTCGTAGCGTTGTCCCCAAGGAAGCAACGACCCCTGGCTTCTCCGTCTTTCTCGGATATCTATACATTGATGAGTCAGAGAGAACAGTATACAACTTTATCTGAACTTGTGTATACAATTTGTGTTCAATATTTGCCTTTAACACCGTAAAAAAAAAAATTGATAGTGGCCAATAGTAGGCAGATTTTACTCACTGATCCTTCTGGAAGGTGTCTTGATACTGGTGAACGGTCCTTGATACAGAATTGAAACTATCGAAAGCTTCATGAAAATATAGATATACTACACCTGTTGACAGATTTTTTCATTCCATATATATATATATATATATATTATATATATATATATATATATATATATATATATATATATTTTATAATATGCCGTGCCGAATAGGTAAAACTGGTCAATTAGCAAGAACTCATTTAAAATTGAGCCCTTTCTATTTTTTTTTGTTATACGGTTAAAGGTACATTTTTTACATTTATGTTAATGTAAAAATTAATAATTTTGTACCAAAAGAACTTTAGAAAACATACCTAGCCTTATTATAACAAGCGCAATTTAATTTAACCTGACCCAAATAAATATATTTTAGATAAGTTTACAATAATTAATAATAAACAAACACAATGAAATATATTTTTATTCGTTAGGTTTAGAATGATTTTTGCGAAATTATTCCATCTACAAATTTTCGCTTGCCTTATTCGGCAAGAAGAGGTTTGCTATTTAAGCCAAAATCGCACGACATAAATCAACTAGAATAAAGAAAATGTCTCAACAGATATAGTATATATATTTTAATTAAGCATTCGACAAGGTAGGTATATCCGGTCTTACAGAAGTCTACTCCCTCCCCCAATTCCTTGTCTCCGTTACAGCTTCCTAACACGAGGAATCTGTAGGACCATTATACACCTCCATAGTGATTACCTTCACGGTCGATCTCGCAAGATAGGTGTTAGTGCAGCAACCTGAAAGTTACTCAATCCATGCCGCCAAACCACAGGAGTGTGTATCTGTTCTCTTGTTACAGTTTACCCTGGGAGACGTGTTGATTATGTAGCGTCACACACACTGAGTGAACGTTCGTCATAAGTGCAGTGCACTTCAATCAAAATAATTGATGCCATATTCTGTTTTAACATTTGGTATAAGTATTTTACAAAGTACATTATCTAACTGTCACAAATCCTGCATATTTCTTGTAAAATGCTACTAACCTTACTTATAATGTACATAGTACGTTGTTCAAATGTGTTTGTGGTATTAATTCCATACTCTTGTGCAAGGTTACATTCTACGATATAGTGCGTACACTACATTTTCCTTTCGGAGTTCTACACCAATGTACCATATTATACAGGTAATAATCTAAAGGATTTGTTTACCACATCTGCCGTATCCCACCAAGGTAGAATCACCCAAAGAAGGAAACCTTTACTCACTGAATACCTGCCTTGCACAGACATTCATAATTCAATTGTTCCCATAGTTCGATTGCTAGCGCACTCTGCTTGCACAGTGAATTCCGCAGTTCGATCCCCACTACGGGTGGAAACGTTAGGACGTGTTTCCTAGACACCTCTGTCCCTGTTCACCTAGCAGTAAAATAGGTACCTGAGTTTTAGTCGACTAGTGTGGGTTGCATCCTAGGGACAAAACTGACCTAATTTGCCCGAAATATTCAGCATAACAAGGGGGGCTTTCTATATAGTATTGTCAATGATTTCAGCTAGGTCTGCATACACTGTACATGTACTTATAGAAATGAAGATTATTATTATGAATTACGTTACTGCAACATTTCCACACACCCGTCAGCAGTGGAGTGCAAAGGTCTGGTGATGCCCGGGGCCAACTCTTTTATTGTATGCCCCAAATCACTATTTTGTTTCCCTCTCTAACTGGATGCCCCCTTCCCCCATATAGATACCCGGGGCCACCGCCCCTTTGGTCCCCTCCTCTGCCCGTCAGGGATGCAAGTCCTGTACACTTCCCAACTCCGCAACTCAGTTTCTGGAAAATTATTTATGCAAAATGGATATCCAGTGTCGCGAGGCACATGACTCTTATTAAAGTTTCCTAAGTGTCTTTATTTTCTCACCTGAACCTGTCAAGGGGTGACGGATAACCCGGGCTGCCAAACTTGGTGTTCTTAAACCCGTGGAGTTGAGAGTTGCGTTGTTTCCATGGCAGCAGACCCTGAAAGCGCACAATATTACATTACAGTGGCATTCAGCTGAGAAATACACTAAATTAATATGAGAAAGGCAACATACAAGATATATAAGCAGAGTATCAAAACTGGTAGTAAACACACGTCAGTGGTAAAGAACAATATTTACTCTAGTCATACACAAATAACCCGCATGTACGAGACAAACTTATGACGACGTTTCGGTACAACTTAGACCAGTGACTACACCAAAACTTACGTCGACCGAAACGTTAAAAGTTTGTCTTCTACGTGCGGGTTATTTCTGTATTGCTCCAGCCACGGCATTGTGCCTTTTTATTCTTTAGTAAGATTGTTAGTATTAAATATTAAGTCAGATTTATACACAAACACTAGAAAAGCAGAAGATAAGAGAAGTCAAGGCTAAGCCGTGGTGGAAGGTGTGTAGGATAGACATCATTACCAATTACAAGTGCTGTTGTTAGGTAAGACACATATGCAACAGTTAGGTATCTTTATTTCGAAACGTTTCGCCTACACAGTAGGCTTCTTCAGTCGAGTACAGAAAAGTTGATAGAAGTAGAAGATACTTGAAGACGATGTAATCAGTCCATCACCCTTAAAGTTTTGAGGTGGTCAGTCCCTCAGTCTGGAGAAGAGCATTGTTCCGTTGTCTGAAACAATATGAAGTTGAAGTGACAGGATGGGGCCTTATATAGTGCCAGGAGGTGAGACGTAGGTTGCTTTGGGAGGGCAGGTCCCTCTCAAACCCAGCCGTTCTCACTAGTAGAGGTTGTCGAAGTTGATGGTCTGTACCAAGATACCCTTGTGTTGCAGTGTCTGACAGAATGAACATTAAAATGGTATAAAATACCGACAGATTGTTAGGTAAGACACATATGCAACAGTTAGGTATCTTTATTTCGAAACGTTTCGCCTACACAGTAGGCTTCTTCAGTCGAGTACAGAAAAGTTGATAGAGACCTGCCCTCCCAAAGCAACCTACGTCTCATCTCCTGGCACTATATAAGGCCCCATCCTGTCACTTCAACTTCATATTGTTTCAGACAACGGAACAATGCTCTTCTCCAGACTGAGGGACTGACCACCTCAAAACTTTAAGGGTGATGGACTGATTACATCGTCTTCAAGTATCTTCTACTTCTATCAACTTTTCTGTACTCGACTGAAGAAGCCTACTGTGTAGGCGAAACGTTTCGAAATAAAGATACCTAACTGTTGCATATGTGTCTTACCTAACAATCTGTCGGTATTTTATACCATTTTAATGTTCAATTACAAGTGCTACCATCAGGTAGTACTTGTAAGTGGTAATGGTAGCTGGGAGTTGTGAGTGGTGCCCTACGTTTATTGCTGACACTCAACATGAGAACATCTACAGACTTCCAAAAATCAAAACCAATCTCCTTACTAATTAAAATGAATCATAACTGAAGGGATTGCTCAGACACACGTGTGATCTAACCACACACACACACGTAAGCACACTTCCTATGACATTAATGATCCGCCCTGCTGACCTACATGCTTGGCCTAATAATTATTCCCATATTGGTGTTTATAGATATTTTGTGTGTATGTTGTATGAGCGTGGCATCTCGTCTTCAGCATTTAACTTAGCATATATTTGTTGTAGGTTTCCTGTGCTTGTAGCTCTTGCTATTTCATCGCGAATTCCACTCCACTATTCTACCATTATGTATGAACACCAGAGCAAACACTAGGACATTTACTACAAAACCTTTCAGAACATTTTCTAGTGTTCGCTCACTTGTCTTTCTAAACCAATTTGTGGGTATTTATTATCAATGTTTATACCATGTATGAACACCACACTTACACGATATATGGGTACGAACACTTCTGCTTATGTCTATTTTGATTTTCTTGGCTATTACCGGATAAATACTGTTGTCAACAGTATTTATCCGTTAATATACCCTTTAAGGAGGTATACCTTGAGGTACATGAATGGTATACAATACCGACAAGATGAAGAATTAGACAAGTGTGCAACATCTGGGTAGATTTATTGTAGACGTTTCGTCATCCAGTGGCTTTATCAATTCAAATTCAAGGACATAATGGGAAGACGGTAAAATTATATACAAAAGACGAGGTAATCAGTCCCTCAGCCTTGAAGTTGGCTAAGACCACCGTAGTCTTGAATAATTTGAAGCACAGGTACGAAGCTTGGCGTTTATATACCGGCGTCACCTGACCCCGGTATATAAGCTGGGCAACTTATTACCTCGTCTTTTCTATATTATTCTACTATCTTCCCAATATTGCCTGGAATTTTCACTGATATAATAAAGATGTTGCACATGTGTCTAATTCATAGGCACCGTGATGCTGGTGAAGGGGCACTTAACAACAGGCACTGAAACTAACCTCTGTTACCTAGCATCAATGCGGATTACTATGCAGTCCCCATGAATAAAATAATAATAATAATAATAATAATAATAATAATAATAATGTAAAGGCTGTTGTAAAGCTTGCCAGTACTGTACACAAGTCTCTGTTTTCTTACGTGATATTCATGTGACAATCTTCTATATACTTACTCCTTGACTCTTACAACACTTACAGAATCACTGCACCACAGCCAGTATTCTTTATCTATTTTTTTTTTCTTATTTCCATTACATATTTATTTAATCCGAGAGAAATGCTGAACCCGTAGAAACATAGTGATTTAGGGAAACCGGTAAACCTTAAGGAATAGAAGGCAGATTCGATCCATGGAAGGGGAGGTCAGTTCCAGTTCCTTGAATGAGAGTCTTCACCAGTGAGGACCGTGCCTTGAGGGGATACTACCTCAAAGGTTATAATTATTTGTTGCCCGTGGCCTGGTGGCAAAAGCTCTCGCTTCACACGGTGAATGTCCGGGTTCGATTCCCTGCAAAGGGTGGAAACATTGGGCGTATTTCCTTACACCGGTTGTCTATTGTTCATCCATCAGTAAAAAATGGGTACCTGGGTGTTAGTCGACTGGTGTGGGTCGCATCCTGGGACAAGTGACCTAATTTGCCCGAAATGCTCTGTGAGCATAACAAGCAGCTTTCTGTATGTCATTGATGTCAGGTAGGACTGTATACGTTGTACAAGTACTTGAAGAAATAAAGATCATTGTCATTATTATTACTTACCTAAAGATTGTCGTGTCATCAAATTACTTAATTATGTTGGTATGCTTCATATACGTCCACGTTGTGAGCAACAAGGAGCCATACATATACATAACTCTAACAGGTTTGGAGAGTTCTTTTATTGTGTATGGATGGCCTGACTGCAATACTGACTTACTGGTCAACCAGACTCTTGGTGACTACGGCAGCCAGACCTACATGACTATTACAAGTATATTAACAAGACACAATATGCTGTTATGGCATTTATTAAGAAGACATACTTGATAGTCCCAGAGGAGAAAGAAACCTATGACGACGTTTCGGTCCGACTATTTAATGATCAAAGTCGGATCGAAACATCCTCATAAGCTTCTTTCTCCTATGTGTGGGTTATTTGTGTACTGTTCCAGTCAAGGTATTGTTTTTCTTTTTATTGTTTATCATCCCCTGGTGGGTGAAACGTCTCCTCAATAAAATGCCATAAACTGCACACGGGCTTGTCATCATGGGATTACAACCTAGCTGAAATGGAACTTGTCTGAGACAGAGGTCTACTTTCCTCTTAAAAAAAAAATGTGCCTGTACTGACCCATGGGAAACGCCACTGGCAACGGAACCCCCTCATCCCCTCTGATTTTGTCCTTATTGATGCACACTAATACCTCTGTGTCAGCTAGCTTAGCTTCGATCTATAGGAGAATTTCAATACCACGAGCCGTTGCTACTTTATCAGATTCCTGATAAGTAAGGTACATGTGCAACAGTTGGGTATCTTTATTCCGAAACGTTTCGCGCACACAGTAGGCTTCTTCAGTCGAATAGAGAGAAGGTACCATGAGCAGTAGAAATGTAAAGACGATATAATCAGACCATCACTTTCAAAAGCGTAGTTTTGAGGTGGTCAGTCCCTCAGCCTGGAGAAGAGTTCTGCTCCATAGTCTAGAACAATGTTGTACTCTGAGGTGTTACTCAAGTCTCCACAAACATCCTAATAGTCCTCGTCGTTCGAAATACACTAGTAAAAGTCAGTCAAATGGTTAGGCAAGAAGGATATTTTGTGAAATATTATATTCAAGAGGAAGCGCTAGATCCGCAAGTGATCATATACAGATTGGGAAATACGAATTAATCGGTCTTTATGTCAGTCCTTCACTAGCATTAAGGTCTATAGTTTAATGAAGTACACTTTCAGGGCACCCATCATTTATGCCAGAAGCTTTCATTCTCCACATGCCTCTCTCAAACCTAATGTTTAACTTCCTTCCTCTTCTGATCTCTTTCTTATTCTCGTTCTAAAAAATTTGCAACTCATTCTTAACACTTTTAATTCCACTTTTAAATGAAACCATTTTCAAGGTACCGTCGTGACTAGCTATAATACCAGTAGGCCTTAATTACTCCTGTAACGCCTTCTTCACCAGCAAGTTGTTGACACTGGGAAGCACAGTGTAATATAAACCTTATTAACCCCGCTTATTGCATTTGTCTATTTTACTAAACTAGTTTCAATGGAAACAGAATAGTAGTAGTAGTAGTAGTAGTAGTAGTAGTAATTTATGATAACGGCTACAACAATATTTGTAATAAAAGCGATGATGGTATTATTACTAACAACATTCAGCAACAAGAACAAGAGTTAAAGTATCAGTGGTTGTGAAATTATTAGTAATAATAGATAAAACAGCAGCAGTAATGTTAGTTGCAGTAGGAGTAGATTGGTTGCTGAAACAATTATAGCCCTGTGTATATACAGGTACACACCTGGTGGGGAAAGAGAAAGCACTTATTTTAAACCAGTGGTTATGATATTAGTAACAATAATAGTAGTGGTGGTGATATGAGCAAGAGTGGCATCAGCAGTAACAACAGGAGATGCATCAATACTGTAACGCAGCAGAATGTGGTTGTGCAAATATGCACGTATACACCTGAAGAACCAGGCACACTGGTCACAGTCAGCTGAGTGCGCCGCAGGAGCGGCTTATGTGGCGTAGCAAGACTGCGTAGGGTACTTGCAGTACGTGGCGTTGTAACCTGACCGAGCAGCACGTATATACTACTGCACACCCTGACAACGACAGCCCTAGCAGTGTGACGGCACTGCTGCTGAGATGCTCTTACCATCACCGGAAACTACTCCACTACAGATAGTCTGGTGTGCTGGATTTATTTAACTAGCAGTGTTACAGGATGCTCACCTGTTCATGAACCTATCTTGTATCTTTCTGACATCATCCTCCTACAATAAACACTTTGTTTACCATTATTTAAACCTGGCTACATCGTTTATGTGCAGGGATATTCATGCATACCACTTAAGTGATCTATACGTAACATAGTATCCCTTACCAATACCATCCCATCACACACTACACAGCATACCACTTAAATGGTCTATACGTAATATAGTATCCCTTTCTGATAACATACCATCCGACACACACACACACACACACACTATACACATCTTTATAAATATGCATACTAGGGTTCACAAGGCTTAGAACAAGTAAACTGTCAGATAAGAGGCGGGGCAGGAAGCTAAAGATTCGACCCCCAGCAGCCATAAATAGGTAAGTATAAACATTAGAGTACACAAGCGTCGCACAACGTACTATATATCTAAAAAAATACTCACCAGTGTGGGTACAGCACTGTCCTTGACAAGGGGAGACTGGGAGCTGACGTTGAGGCTCTCTCTGCCTCTGTAGGGGAGAGAAACACGTTAGATCATAAAAGTAAAGTAACACTGCACTAATCCTATTGGCTCTCTCAAACACACCCACACGTTATTCATCTTTTTAAATAAATTTCAAAGCAACACGATACATTCCCTTCCAGGGAAGGCTTTGATGCAAGTGATGGTCTCCAGATCCAAGGACTTGGAGCTATGCTTCCCTTCCTTGGACTTCACTTAATTCCCTCCCATGCCCCAGGGTACTATTACCTGTGAGATTTGCTTGCCGCGACTTCCAAAGCAGGGCTGTTGTAGGCAAACCATCTCGTGGTTCAAACAGTCTAGGAATTTGATAAAAGGAGTTTAATAAATATTTACAGTCTTCATGAGTAGTAGTAATTACATGATGGAAGATAAGTGAAATACCTGATAATTATTCTAACATTGGACTAGACATATATAAACATTACATGAAAGCTCTTGCGACCTGCACCAATATCAAAGTGTTCAACTCACTTGCTCACTGCCTCGAGTCAACACAGTGTATATGTGTGCTGATATCAACAAAGGAATCAAAAGTTATTCAGTCCTAGAACACGCCAAGTTCATAAAGGTGGGCCAATACTAAGTCCATGCACTTGTAATTCTCTTCGTCGAACTCATCAATAATTACAAAGTGTTAGAGCATAGAAGTGTTTTATGGGCACTCTGGAGAAAGTACACTAACGACTCTTCCTCGTAGCGGCTACGTCAACAAAGTTGTTAAAACGACGAGTTCAAACACAGAGGCAGTACAGTAAACAATGATCAGAAATTTCAGTTCCCAAAATGATGTGTGTAAGGTGTGTGTGTCAGACTTTTTTTTTTTTTTGGAGTAACTTCGCTCCCATACCTTCCCTGGGTTGACAGCACTACCTTATTATTTAGCAAGACTGGACATATTAGCAATGTGCTGCTACCCTATTCTATATGATAGTTATGTATCACACTGTATGGGTTACATACATATTTAGCTCAAACCCGTCAGCCTGAGCTTAAGGCTTTAATTTTTGTTATGTTATACGTATTGTTGTATGCTTTTATATGATATTTCATCATGTATGGTTTAGGGAAATACTAGTTGGCTTAGGTGTAAATATCGGATATGTGCTGCAGCGTACTTTATAAGGTGTATTATGTTCATGTATTATGTTTTGTATACCTGTTTAAAGAAGGATGGATTTTTATATATTTAATATGTTGTTATATGACGTTTTAAATAAAATATAAAAAAAAAAACTGATTACTCCATCTTTTGTCAATAGTTCCACTGTCTTCGCATATCCTTGAATTTGTATTGATACTAATTCTTCATCTTGTCGGTATTGTATCCTATTAATTGACAACAAAGAGTATTGTAATAAAAGAATTCCTAATACCTGGGGTGTTATATTGATTTGTTTGCCAGAGATGTATTGATATTGGCACTGCAGTCTGTCTGGGTTGAAAGGAAGCTACGAGTCGGTGAAAAATATTGGTCGTTCGCTTCCAGGTAAAGCTTGGTTCATGGAGCAGTTTGTCATATTAATGTATTCATAGTTATATAACGTTCATCTGTACATTATTTGTTGTTTGTTTAATATATAATTGTTAAGGTTATTATCACACTAGTTAGGATTATCATCATCACTGACAGACAGGATAATGAAAATTATTTTGAAAACCGATAATTTGAAGAATAAGACACTTATGCAGCATCTGGGAATTTTTATTGAGGAAACATTCCTCAATAAAGATTAACAAATGTTGGACAAGTATCTCATTCTTCAACTGAAATAATGTTCAGGCCTTCTATAATAACCCCACATCATTAGATATCCTGTTATTAAAATTTATTTAGCTTATCACAACTCCAGAACCCCTCATCTCATCGGATTAAAATTTTGTCGCATGTGTACAGTAACGCGGGCCAGATTCTAGGAACAACTGGACTGGTATGTGCAGGTACCCATTCCCAGCATCTGGGAATGGCGAGGATAACTTCCAAAGTCCTTAATGATTTGGTGTAGATTTGATCGTTTTGTGTAAAATTATGTGAAATTTTGATTCGTGATCAAACTATACGCATCTACCCCTTCTGAGTTACGAGGTTAGACTTACTATGCAGATGAACATTGTAAAGGAATGCTGTAGTCTCTTAAACATTAATACATAAAGAAATGAAATATCATCAAACATGTATCCTTATACTTGGACTACATAACATCATAAATTACAAGGTAGTATAAATTATTAAATACCACAATAATACAGGATCTGGTCAAGATTACGAAGAATTATATCAAGTGCAAGAGAAATAATTATGAAACACGCAAAATACATACACACCATGCACTGACACACATTATACAAAATGATAATATATCTGACACATACACACAAAACTGTTGGAGGGGGGACCCCCCTCCCATGAAAACTCGTCTATAAATACACCCACATCATTCGCACACGTATTGATCACAGCAGTGATCAAACATAAATTTTTGTAACTTTATATATACATGCAACTGATTATGAGATTTAACTTAAGAACAAACTCTGATAATTATCCGAAAACATTTCTCTATAACAAAAATAAGCATTACACAAAATTACATAAGCGTATAAAGCATCAACAACTGCAAGATTTTTACAGCATACGTTGCATCAGCAACGAAACTTAATAACATTACAAAAGTTATGGAAAACAAATTATGTAAAAACAAATATTAACCCCATCTAAGAGGAAAGAAATTCCCTACAAAATTACAATAAAAAACTGCGAAAATACATACCAGAAAAATTATCTTTGCAAAAACTGGTAGACTAACATGGACAGTGACTTCTATAACTCTCTTTTAATCACAAGGACCTATTTTATACAAATCTTGGGCTAATCAAAATCTTGCACACAAAACTTACATGTCAACACAGCACCACGCAGTACATACCTTCCCGACCCTCACATTCCTTCGCAAGTCCTGCACCTCATACACTCTCCCTCCGAAAAAACTAATGTCAACCCGCTTATAAAGGAAACCAGTCCGTTACGTATAATTAGCTCGCCAACTGAGTGAGGCCATTGACCGTAAGTTTGCAGTAGGTCTCCGGAAAACGTGTCCTCCACTGTCCCCCGTAAATAAGTTTGTTTCTGCAAACCGTTCTATATATGCCCGCCGCAATTGCCCTAATCCTAATTCTTCCTCCTCCCGTGTCCCTCATCCCCCAGGAAATATACAGAAAATCCACCACTACATACATAATCGCCCTTTTCACTTCTCTGGAGACCCCGCGTACTTCTAATGTTAGGCTCGCAGGGTCTCTACATTACCCCCACCCATCAACCCAAAAACCTTCGCTAACCACACCCTCACCTCCCTCAACTCTTCACAGAAATAAACCGCATGAAAAGCCGTTTCCTGTTCTCCACAGTGATCGCAGGTCTGTTCCCTCACCAATCCCATTGAACACAAAACAGCTTTCGATGCTAATATCCCCATTATAAACATTTATACAAACTCCCGTACTCTCGGCATTAACTTAATTATTATTATAATCAAGGGGGAAGCGCTAAACCCAGAGGATTATACAGCGCCTAGGGGGGGGGGATGTGGAAGGCATTCAGGCTTAATTCGGGGAACTGGAGCACAGATCCAATTCCCTAAATCAAGAGCCCCTCACCAACATCAAGGAACCTTCCTTGAGGGGCGCATTAACTTAAGCTTTCGAAAGTCATTCCATATCATACCCCAATCATACAAGGGATAAACCGATACCCCTTGTATGATTTCCGGCCTTCTGCTCATCGTCACCAAACGCCCCACCCTAAGTTTTTCCACCTCCCTAATCAATAACAATACCCTCAGCATATCCTCGCATTCAATTAATTCTTTTCCGCTCCACCATCTCCTCACATCCTTCATCACTGTCCCCACTCTAACCCCTCTTTCCCCCCCCCCCTCCCTAACGAACCTCTGTTTCACATATAAAGCCTTTACTCTCGGCCCCAACGCTAAAAGGCCTACTCCTCCACTGTGTATATTCGACATCACCCCCTTTCCTTGCTCAGCCATGCCCTCCCGAAACCCCAAACATAACGTAATGCCCTCCTCTGAATCTCATGTACGTCTGTAGTCCGCAGTGGATACACCACAGCCATACTCCATACTTTACTATAAACTAATGAATTTACAATTATCGCCGCTGTTGTAAGGTGACATCCCCCGCCTGTAAACTCCTTAACCCTTTTTTACTGCCTTCTCCACCACCACCTCCGAATTCAGCTGCCTAGCCTCTCGCGCATCAGTCATGTTTATAACTCCACAAATTTTAGCCTAGCCACTACTTCCCACCCAAACTCCAACCCCAAGCCCCCCCACCCCCACCCAGGCACCCACCTCCAGCAAACTTGATTTTGCTCTGTTCACCCGCATGCCAGACGCCCTCCCAAAAAGCTCCAACACACTTTCCACCGTACACAATCCCTCCACTCCTGCCATCAGAACAGTGGTATCATCCACATACCCCACCACATCTATACACCCATCCTTCTCCCCATTTAAAATCCCCCTCCCCTCAACGAGCCCATAAAAAGGATGCTGCATACACGCAAACAATATTTGAGACAGGGGACACCCCTGTCTCAAACCCCTCTCCATCCTTACAGGCCTTCCCAACCTGCCATTAATTTGTACTCTCACCATTGCAGATGAATACATTGTATCAACCCACCTCACCACTCCCATGCCAAAACCGAGATGCAACAAACTAGCCCTCAGAAAGTTTCTATTCACACAGTCATATGCATTTTCCCAATCAATGCCCAAAAGCCCTCCTCTGCTGCAACCCTCCAAAAAATCCCTAATGCGGCCATGCCCATCTCTCATGCTTCTGCCCGGAATACCCATCTGCCCTTATGAATACCCCACCTAACACCTTCTTCATCCTATTGCCCAGTATCTTCGCGAAAATCTTGTAGTCGGCACACATTAGCGAAATAGCTCTGTACTC